ATAAATAGGATAACAAGAATAAGTGCAATGCATAAGACACTAAAGTTCCCAAAAAAAACTCAAACTGTTCAGAGATATCCTAATTTCCCCAAAATCCCTAATTGTTCAGAAAATCCCTAATTTCAACCAAAATACTTAATTCTTTAGACAAACCCTAGTTTCCCCAAAATAACCCTAATTTGTATGAAAAGCCCTAATTTCCCAAAAAACCCTAATTTGTATGAAAAGCCCTAATTTCCCCAAAAAACCTTAATTTGTATGAAAAGTCCTAATTTTCCCAAAAATACTATAATTTGTATGAAAAGCCCCTAATTTCCCCCAAAAATACCCTAATTTGTATTAAAAGCCCTAATTTCCCCAAAAAGAACCTTAATTTTACAAAAAAAAATACCTAAATTCCAATATTAAATCGAATTTCTAAACAAACCCTAAATGTAAGAACACACTCTCGAAAACAGAACATGGACCACAATCTCGAAATAAAAAATGCACAAACCACATGACAAAGAGTATACAAGAAATTAAAAAACACACAATATTCCAAATTTGTCGCACTACCTCGGGTACAAAACACATACAATAAGAAATAAAGAATAGAAGAAATTCGTCTCACCTGTCTGTCATTTTCCCGACATATAAGAAATGTCGAACGCACCCTCAGAAGGAATCTCAAATGCAGAAACACAAACTCTCATGCAATTGGGACCAATTCGTTGCGTATTCTTGATACAGAGAGAAGATTTCAGAGTAGGGTTTGATTTTTGTTGTCGATAACGATTTTATCTTCTTTGAAAAGTTAGGGTTAGTCGATGTCGATTTGGGAAATTTGTGAAATTGGGGAGGGGAATCATTTTTATACCATTTTTCAGAAAATCCACGTATTTCACTTAAACTTACTCAGCAAACTCAAAATTACACGTAGATAAAACAGCCGGACACGCTGGCACCTTTTCGCCGTCCGACGGGTTTTAAGCTCATTTTGCAAAAGTAATACAAGGCTGGTATTATTTTGCATTTATCTAGAAGTTTGGATTAAATTGCCAAAAGTGAAAAGGTCAAGGTTTAATTGACAATTAACCCATTTATTTTTGACAATTTACAAAAGATGAAACTATCCCCACTTACAAATCTGACACACCTCATTACATATATCCAAATATTCAAAAGAAAACAATTAAGCATGATAGTAGCCTACCGCAAATACGTAGGTGCGCCCTGGCACACCTAGCAGGGTGTGCCAAGGCGCACGATAGTAGCACTGGTAGCCTACATGACTGCAAGTCAGTATTGTTGGATACGGTTTTTCAAATGAAAAAAAAAATAAAAAATTAAACATGATAGTAGCACATTAGAAGATGTGTTAATTGTATTTAAAATCCTAACTTTTTGTGTAACTGCAAATGAAATCAACTTTTTTAATTTTGCAAAAAAATATCAAACTTTTAATAAGTATTGCAATTATGTCTCACTCGTTGGACCGCCGCCAACCGCCACCGTCAACCTTCACCCGCCGCCGACCAACTTCAACGGATGTTGAAAATTTTTACATGATCTTGTAACTCTCCTCCGTGCCGAAAACATATCCGAGTTTCACGAGAAAATACCAACAATAAGGCTTCCAATTTTTCGGTCAAAATCGTAGATCTTCAAATTTTCTCCGGCATTCTTTCGCGAATTCCCGGTGACTCGCTTTGGCCCATGTGAATCCGAAGGTACTGTTGAACTCCTCTCGCAAAGCCCCATCTAGTGACGTCCACCTTCGCCGGGACTTTTTCCCGGCGACTTTTTCGATTATCTTATTCAAGGTTTGGTATGGCCGGAAACTGATTTTGAGACATAATTGCAATACTTATTAAAAGTTTGGTATTTCTTTGCCAAATTAGAAAAGTTGAGTTCTCCTCTCGCAAAGCCCCATCTAGTGACGTCCACCTTCGCCGGGACTTTTTCCCGGCGACTTTTCCGATTATCTTATTCAAGGTTTGGTATGGCTGGAAACTGATTTTGAGACACAATTGCAATACTTATTAAAAGTTTGGTATTTCTTTGCCAAAATTAGATAAGTTGAGTTTTATTTACAACTAGTACAACGCCCGTGTATTACACGGGTGCTTGCTAATTTTTTTTTTTTTAAAAAAATCTAAAATTAATGAGAAAAAGTAGTTGAAAATTTAAATACCTTTTTATAAAATTATATATATTATATATTTAGTATGACACTTTTTATTTGTGCAACTTACATGTGTTATATTATAATAATTTTTTTAACATACAACATATAACTACATTAATCATAAATATATCAATTGAGAAATAATTTTATTTTTCTAATGAATTTTAATCAATATTATTATTTTTTTATTATTATAAATATAAATATAATTTATTTATTTCATATATACAATATGGATGTCAAATCGAGGATCATCAAAAGATGATTAATTTGATATATTATATATGTAAAACCGATACAAAATACATAAGTTATCGACTTTTAAAATACATTTATAATTCAATAGCTAATTGAAGGAAACAAATCAAGAAGTCAGGGATATATTAGTCACTTAGTGACTCAGTATGTAAAATTACAAAGAAATAAAGGGTTATATTAGTACAAGTGATATTAAAATACCTAAGTTAACTAAATAATATTTATGGAATGTCCAAACCTAAATTTTATTAATTATTAATATATCAATATTATTTGTCCAAACCTAATTACGAAGCATGATTTTTTGCCAAATAGGATTTCGAAGCACCAGAAACAGCCACGTAGGCTCAACGCATTCTGGAATAATATATAGGGAGGATATATTATTATATATTTAGTATGACACTTTTTATTTGTTTGACTTACTTCTGTTATATTATAATAATTTTTTTAACTTACAACATATAACTACATTAAACATAAATATATCAACTGAGAAATAATTATATTTTTCTAATAAATTTTAATAAATATTATTATTATTTATTATTATGATTATAAAGATAAATATAATTTATTTATTTTATATATACAATATGGATGTCAAATCGAAGATCATGAAAAGATGATTAATTTGATATATTATATATGTAAAATCGATAAGAAATACAAAAGTTATCAATTTTTAAAATATATTTATAATTCAATAGCTAATTGAAGGAAACAAATCAAAGTAAGGGGCTATATCGTTGGAAAAAAAAAATCAAAGTAAGGGATATATTAGTGACTTAGTGCCTCATTATGTAAAATTACAAAGAATTAAAGGGTTATATTAGTACAAGTGATATTAAAATACCTAAGTTAACTAAATAATATTTATGGAATGTCAAAACCTAGATTATTAATTATTAATATATCAATATTATTTGTCCAAACCTAATTACGAAGCATGATTTTTCGCCAAGTAAGTTTTCGAAGCACCAGAAGCAGCCACGTAGACTAAGCGCATTCGAGAATTATATATTGGGAGGATTACACACAAAATTAAGATTTTAAATGCAATTAACCCTTACAAGATTATTACTTGAAAGATCACACTAAAAAACTACTAGGAGTAATAAACACAAGTTTTCAAAAGACAACATCAACACGTGTGATAAGCTTATTACTTCAAAGTTGATACAAAAAGAAAAACAGTTAAAAGAGTTGCGAAGAATCGCTAATCACAAATGGGAGTTTTTTTCCTTCTCCATACCTCTTCAAAATAAAAGAAAGGGGGAAAAAACGAAAGGAAAAAACAAACAAACAAACAAACAATTAAACAAACAAACAAACTTATTTGGTAAGATAGTTAATTCCTTGAAACCTATGCTCAAGTTTTCGCTCAGGAATTTCATCAAACACCATGTCTACGTGTTTAATATCCAATGAACAAACCACTTCACAACTAATCCGAAAACATCATAGTTGCTGCCTGAAATATGAAGTACGAACAGACCACTATCAACATCAATTCCTTCCTGTTTTACTTCATTAACCAAATCTGAAGTTGGCAAACCCTAATAACAAGACCAACGGTAGTAGCAGCAGCCTAGCGGCAGGGCAAATGGTCCCTGCAAGCAAGATAGAGAACAAGTGAACTTCAGCACGAGACTGTTTAGGTGCCGATCATTTACTCGAGCGATTTTTATGGCCGACTATAACAAATTGCCGGCATTCAGTTGGCCAGCTTTTGGTACGGGAAAATACATTATCTTCTGATGTGGAACCCTTATATCTATTTCCCAGGCAAAGAAGGTCCCTATCTCTAAATAAATGGGCATGACACCGTCAATCACATTACAAGGTAAGTCCGAACATTCTCCAGAAAGTATCATTTGACTTAGCGGCAAATGTTGTTCAGCAATAGCCGTACTTTTTCTGCAGCTCAGTCGAGTATCTGATGAGCAGGGGGGTCGAGGGCATGGGGAAACATTACCCATATTGAAAAACCCGATAACTTGTATTTCTACTATGACGGTACGGGCACGTTTTCATTTCTGTTCAGATTACAGACCTGGAAGCAAAAGCCGCTTTCTTTGATACCTTTGCCCTGCATAGTTTAAGCTGACAAAATATTGGAGGAAAGGGTAGAGAGAATTTCTGCACCAACATATCCTAAATCAAGTTTATAAATCCACAAATACAGCTGGTGAAAAATAATATAATTTCTCAACAAAATACAAACAGAGCTGATCCTTTCCTATGTTATTTTTATTTAAAAAAAAAAAAAAAACAGGGGCACCATGATTTACCATAACAAAATGAGAATCCTTGGCAAACCAGTATTATCAAATCTGAAAAATCTTAGAAAGTTCGAATCCAAAAATAAATCCAACAGGCATTTACCACGATGTAAAAGCAAATCCGATTACTCGGACGCTATCAAGAACACCACACAAGTTTAAGAAGAACAAGTCTGAATATGTACAGACAATGAGAAGACACCAGTATTTTAACCATGTTACAACGGTCGGTCAGTAGTAGAAACCTCCCAGTCACGTCCTTCCCTTCATTCCTCAAAATCCAGGTCTCAATGCGTGACAAAATGGTACCTCGAGTCCACATAACTCTCGACATCCCAAAGGATAGAGCCGAAAGTCACGGCCTCCAGAAAAACTCTCCTCAGCCCACCAAAGCTGATCATAATCTTCACGTCTTTAGAAGAGTCAATGTTCCCATCTGGCGTGAAGATCATCTCGGGCCTACCAAACAGAGCCTCCGTATGTTTCTCGATAATATTGACAGCCTCCTTAGACCTAATATTCGCGTACCTCTGAAGAGTCTCCCCATCAAACGACATCACATACGTCCGCAGCCGGCATGGCTTTAACTCGACATAACTTCCATTATCAACACCATCCGACCAAGAAGAAACTTCCGGATGCTTCAGGGGGTTATCGGGAGAAACTTCTGCAGGTATCCTCTCATCCGCCATTACTTCTGTCAGAGTCACTTCACCATCCGTGCCTTCGGGAAGAAATTTCATGGTCTTCTCTAGCTGAAACCTCTGGTCGACCCTTTTAAGAAAATAGCCATATATTACTGAGGCAGCATACACCTGGCCAGCCCTGCGCTTGCTTATTTGGGCGATCGAGCTGGAGTGGCCGAGGCGTTTGCCAAGAATGAGGGCGAGATGGTTTTGGATCATCTCGTAGGCTTCGGGCGAGTGGAGGCGCTCGAGCTTCTGATCTTCCATGGCAGGCCACGTGTCAACACAACCTGAAATGCTGGGGGAAGATTGGGCAATTGTGGGGACCAGGGGCACGTCAGCATCCATGAATTTCTGCACCACTAGAGCGTAGAGTATTTCTTCCAAGGCCTTGTCCCTTTCGTTGGCTTTGACCTCGGCAATTCTCCTGTAGCCATGAAAAGAGCATACTGAAACTTAGGATACATTTATATATCCAGATGATATATATTCGGCCACTAAAAAATTTTTCTTCACAAACAGTGATTTTATACCCAATTCTCTTCATCTATACACATAATTTTACTACCTATCATTTCCAATGACATCTGTCATAAATACCTATCATTTCCAATAATCTCTCTCATATTTTTTACATCACGTCAACTTTAATTTCTATATTTTAATATTATTTAAATAAAAACTCAAAATTTCACTCAATCCTCCTGTCAATCAACTTTTTTTCAAAATTAACTCACTTTATCCAATAAATCCGATCAAAAGCAAACAATTTTATTTCGAATCACACCCTTATAAATTCTTATACGAATTCCAACATGTTTAACCACTCAACCACCAAATGTGAGTGAATGATATCTAACCATATTCTCAAAATGTATTAATTTTCTTACCGATCAAAAATAAAATGTATTAATTATCTTTCTACACAAATTCATCATGTTTTTCTAACCCACAAAGAGAAGCTCAAATGTGCCGCACAATTCTTAACATTATAGATCCACATTCCTCATATATGGGTGTTTGTCTGTTTGTTACTTAGTACGTTAATATGATTCGCATGGCCCGCGTTATGGGTCGATCTTGGATGACTAAATATTAAGAAATCCTACGAACCTGTATAACACAAGATCGCTGCCGGATGCAGATGGCTTCTCTTTCTCTTTATCGGCATCACGGTCGATCTGAAGCTTCTCAAGCTGCTGCTCAACAGCATCCGGGACGAGATGTGGGTGGGTCACTAGCATCTCAGACAGGAATTGACCAATTGGAGATTCCAACTTAAGCGGTGCAACAGGAGCAGTCGGGTTGCCAGAATCAGAAGGTTGCATACAAGCTCTGATCACAGTGCGTCTCCTGCTCAAGAGGTTCACCTTCCCGTTGGCCAGCATCACTGGGTAAATTGAATGTCTTTGCTGCGATATGCCACTCCAAATGAAATTTGATAGATAACTAAAATTTAATTTCGGATATATTACTACTTACACGTTGGGTAATCTTAGCTCATCAATCAAGTAATCTACAAGAAAAGGAGCCATGATGCTTTATGAATTTGTAGTTTAGAGGGATACAGTCATATGGAAAGATACAATAAAAAAGAAAAAGAAATAAAATAAAAAAAACACGGTTGAGAAGACAGTTTACAAGATTATTTCACTCGTTTCTCGTCCAGCTCGACGCTTCACATTTGAAATTCAGCAACAAGAATAGAAGTAAGCAGAAGGCTCACATACAAAAGAGAAACAAGCCAACAACAAAAGCGGCACCCGTTTTGGTCGTTTCCATCCTCATGATCATATGAGAATACACGAAGACAATGTTATTCCATAATTGACAAATGCCTAATTCACTCTACTCAAAGAGTACTCAGAATAAATTAACCAAAAATTAGAAAAAAAAACTGCAGATAACAAACTAAAAGTAGGAAAAAAATTAGAGAAAGGAACAAATCAAATTGTAAAAATTTCAGAAAAGCCCACTAAGGAGCTCAAACCTAATTCATCTAGTCCCTCAAAATCACACCAGATGAGAAAAGAAAAATCACCTGAATCGAGGCGTTGAAGGGCAGGCACCTCGAACCGACCCTCAAATCGGGTCGGTCCGGGCCACATCGGGTTGACGCCCAATTAGAAGCTCGAAAAGCAACAGCAATTTCCATTCTGGATAACCTACACAGCACGCAAATGATTCGAGGTTCAAGGACCTCGCAATAATTTTGCAGAAACAATGGCCGACAATATAAAAATCGAAATAAAATACCTCGATGAAACTGCAGCCGGTAACCGGAAGAGAAAAATATCGGCGGGGTTTAGGGATTGAGCTGACAATTGACAGAAAAATATACGCTGCTGGTTTTGGGCGAGATCACACAGTTGGGCTATTCAGAATTGGGGTGAACTTCGAGTGACGTTGAAACCTGAAACGCAAACTAGCCGAGCTGAGTCGAGCATTGGCCTTATAAGATTGAATTTTTTTTTAGCCTCGAAAATAATTACAAAAGCTTGAGCTCGACCAAAATTATAATTTTACATTTCTATAAATAGAGACCACATTTGATAGGTTTTTAAACACAACTAATTTTTATTTTTTCGTAATTATTTTATTATACTGACATATAATGAACATGTTACATAATAAGATGAATATGTTTTCAAATAAGATGAACATGTTACAGATTGTAGATTGAAAATAATACATATTCATCTTATTTTATAACATGTTCATCTTGTTCTATAACATGTTCATTTTATTATGTATGTAACATGTTTATCTTAACATGTTCATTTTATTATGTAACATGTTCATCTTATTCTATAACATATTCATTTTATTATGTATGTAACGTGTTCAGCTTATTCTATAACATGTTCATTTTATTATGTAACATGTTCATTTTATTCTATAACATGTTCATTTTATTCTGTAACATGTTCATCTTATTTTAGAATATGTTCATCTAAATTTCATTTATGAAAATGTAACATTTTCATCTTATTCTATGACATGTTCATCTTACTCTATAACATGTTCATCTTACTATGTAACATATTCATCTAATTATAGATTTGCGTCATAATCTTCCAATAAGATAAATTAATTGTAAAAAATGATAAATTAATTGTGTTCTAAAAAATATCAAATGTGGTCTCTATTTGTAGAGAATGAAAAATTATGAATTTTGGTTTCCGTTGCCCGAATCTTATGAATGTTGTTGATATATATGCATCAACAGATCTCTCTGGAATAGGTTCTCCCAATGCACACTTCATATTCAGACAAGAATAAGCCCAGAGCAAAGTTGGATAATATACACTACTATATTTCTATTTGAATTTGACATGGCATCCCCTTGCTTTTTCTGTGCTCAGTCTATAAGCAAAGAGGTGGTGCCCAATACACTTGAGATGCGTCCCAAGGTCGATCAATGACCAGTACTGCATCTGCTCAATGACATCGAACCTTCAAGGTTTGAAGATGGTCGACTCATATTTAAAGCTAAACTCCGCTTACCAATTCTTGAATACCCGTTATAGTAGAATATTCGGGAGTTACGTTCTCAGATTTTTTTTTCCTCTACCTCTTCAACAACCAACATAACTGTTTTAACCACTTTTTCGGGACCTCGATCTCTCGCAAACATTAGATTTACGCAAACTATTGCTTAATGCTCTGTGTCACCATCTTCTTCACTAACGTTTGGAAATTAGAGTTCGTTGTACAATAGACTTGCATGTTGTCATCTCCACCAACATTAGATTTAGGATTCCTTTCCCCCATCTTTGTGCTCCCACAACAACATCGACAAGAGCTAGTGAAACTATAGCTCGTACCGTTCATGGAGACGAAAGGAACGTAACTACCAATTATGTTGGTGAGAATTAATGTACTTGTATTTGAAGATTTGGTTGTCAGTGAGTACACTTTGCTGAGTTTCCTTAGCCACTCGAACCTACTAATTGCGGATCCTACAAGGTCAGCAACGAATGTAAAAATTCAAGAGAAGGGATCTAAGATGGCAAAGAGGCTTAGGACAAGTTAGGAGGGGTTGGTTAGGTTGATTTGGTTCCGACTTTCATATATTAGACCTATATATTTTAACATTTCAATGATGGTTCGTGTTCGTTCAATTAACAGACTTTACACAAAGTCCACAAAAACAATTACTTTAAAAAGTCCACCAACACATTAAAGTTACACAAAGTTTACCAAACAACCTACATTAGAAGTTATTAAAAGAAATTTAAATACAACCCGTAATTTTTTGAATACTCACCGTCCTCCAAAAACACATTGATTAGATGTAATCAGGGGCGATCTATTAAATTGAGTGAGGTGGGGCTAAAATTTTGTAGTAACTGTAAAAACGAAAAAAAAAAAGCACAAGATGAGACATACAAGATTACCATTACACATATATAAATTAATTTTTTTAAACAATTCAAAATGAAATATTAAACATCCTACAATTTGTATATTTCACTATTATTATACATTCTAATGATTTAAAATGTGTTATTATTAATACAAAATTATTCATCTACAAACTGTAAACACATTAAGTGTTATATACGTCAAGATATCATAATAAATCAATCACATTATGTCAATCGTTTAAAGTATTAATACTCGATCCCCGACAGACTCTAGCTTAGGCTTGTGGCCTACCTTCATTGTACCAAAAAAAAAGTATTAATACTCGCGGTAGGTAGGAGAGCGATAATAGTTTTCAATATGTTGGATCAAGTAATTTATTATAATCCATCTTTTAGTTGATAAATTTATTACAATTATTATAGTAGCTTGCAAAGTCATGATAAATTTATTTAAAGATACAACGGATAAATAAGACATTGCAATAAGAAAATTTTAGTAAGAGAAAAGGAGGAAAAACCACTTAATTTTAATAAACAATTTTATTTATAAATTATTTTTGTAAAACTACTTAATTTATACTTATTATATTAACAACATATATTATTAAAAATGTAAAATTTCAGGGTCCTTGGCCCACTTGAAGGGGCTTTGGATCCGCACATGGATGTAATGGAATAATTAAAAGGGATTTACAATGTAAAATATGGGCTCGAGCTCGACTCGAGTTCGTGCTCGAGCCACTCGAGCTCGGCTCGAGTTTGGTCAAATTCGAGCTCGAGCCGAATTTTGACTCGAGCACACGCAAGCGGCTTGCGAACTGCTCGACTCGTTTGCAGCCCTACTTGAAACAATGCCGGTGTCTATTCAATTTCAAATTGAGGTATTAGAAGTAAAATGATGAATGAGAGAATCGAATTAAAAGGTTACGCAAAATAATATCTTGATGTTAAATATGGTAGTTTTATTTAGTATCTAATAGTCTTTACTTATATGAAGTTGTTTTTAACATAATATTTGTTTGGGTAAATAATTTTATGCAACCTATACTATGCGCGAATTTGGATTTTTTGCAATCTAAAGAATATTTTGTACTATATTGCAACATTTAATACACGATAATTGTTTGTAGTATTTTTGGGCAATTGGTAACCGAGTTATCCGGACTCGGGTCGTTCTAAAAGGAAGGCTCTTCGGAGCTTCGTTCACTATCTAGTCGCCAAATCACACAACTGAAAAGGTCCTAAACATTCTACACGCAATTTGAGGGTTGAATTTAAACTAGATTAATCTACGAAATGAGAGCAATTGAAAGCAATTAACTAAGCACGCAAGAAGATGAGAGAAATCAAGGGGGAATAGAGATTTTGGTTTGCCGGAGTCTCCATGATCAATCACACGCAAATAACCGAACATTGCCATGCTAGCTAAAACCCTAGGAAGCTAAACCCAACTCTAGCACAAGACGAGCAAGGATTCAACTCTTAATCACACTTAGTCAAGCATTCACGATCTAAAGATTCAATCTTTTCCTCCTAGCAACACAAGAACAATATCAATTTTCACAAAAAGCAAATAACGATATACGAAGTAATGGGGCTTAAGACTAAGTACCCACTCTCACACGCACTTGGGAAGAAAACCAGAGTCAAAAGCTCAAAACTTTACTCGAAACAATATCGCCGGAAATTCGCCAGAAAACTTGATTCATAAGCTCCAAACCAAAGCATAAAAAGGAAAAAGAGAAAATAGAGAGGAATTCCCAACATAAAAGTTGGGAAATGAGGGTTGTTTCAAAATACAAAGCACAATGTCTATTTATAGCTACACCACAAACACACACTAAAAACACACATATTTAATGAAATTCTGCAGTTCGCGGGTCTCGAAACAGAGTTCGCAGCGAGTTTGGGCATGGAGTACTGCAGAAATGGGCTTTCGCGGGTCGCCAACGGAAGTTCGCTGGCGAGTTCGGCCTTGGGTGCTGCAGATGGGCGTTTCGCGGCACGCGAGTGAAGGTTCGCTGGCGAGTGCATGGGAGATGAGCTGCTGGCGCGTGGCTTCGCGGCACGCGAATGGAAGTTCGCTGGCGAGTGCATGGGAGTGCTGTGGTGATGCGCTTCGCGGGTCGCCAACCGCGTTTCGCCAGCGAGTGTGTGGCTGATGGGCGCGGCTTGCCATTTCGCTGGGCGCCAAATGTAGCTCGCCGCAAGTGCTCCTTGAGGGTTGGTGTGCGCAAGCCGCTTCACTGGGCGCCAAATGTATCTCGCGGGCGAGTGCGAGGCTTGATCATGGCACGACATTCGCGGAGCGCGAACTCCTTCTCGCAACGAGTTTTTGGATGCGAGTTCGTTGTCCTCGGGCTAGGCTCGTGTCTCGAAGATTACTTGGATGGCTAGGATATGTCTCGAAAAATAGCTCGTCTTTCCAATCGTGCAACTTGGACCTAAAGAATACACCAAAGAGACGCAAAAATGCAGAAAAAATACAAATACACATGACGAAAATAAAAACACATAAAACACGATAAAATGGACCGGATGACACAAAATCGAACCTAAAAATGACTCAACTAACACATAAAACACAAGAAAAATAGGCACAAAAACATAACAAACAACAATACTTGTATCGCAACCTCCGGTCGTTTTCCACTGAAAAAGCGAGCGTGCGAGTCGCACACTCCAAATTTGAGGGTAAAATTGGCATTTTAGATGAGCGACCATCGGACTCCCCCAAATATCACACAAGTTGGGAATTGAAATCACAAAATTGATTAGGGTTCTATCTCTCTGCGAAAAAACAAAAAGAACATTCTATCTCTCTGCAAATTTTCGGGCAAACACTTCGCATATTCAAATTAATTGCAGTTGTTGTGATGGTCTGAGAAAAGCGAATCAGTGATAAGAACACACCACCAGGAAAACTCTGCCCAGATTATTGTTTGTACTTTTGTAACCCTGATTCTTAATTTTATTTTTTTTTTGTTTTTCTGTTGAATTTGGCCAAAATTTTGAAACAGTGAACATGTTTTGTGATTATGTGGTCTCGTTTCGAATGTGGCGACAACTCTTTTGAAAGTGGCGACGATCAATTGATTATTCAAATATGAACATGAGAATGTTGTCTGATATATGGTACCTTTTTCGAAATTTATAAATTAGTTTACTTTTTTATTGAATTTTTTATTTAATCTTCATGTGAAGGGACCATGATATTGATTTATGTAATATTCTTGTCCCCTTCAGGCCCAAGTTCACAACTTTTACCATCTCATTTCATTATGGTAGACGATTTTGTGGAACTTGGTGAGACATGCTACACTGGTGAGCACATGAGGGTAAGTCACATTGACTACGGTGACCCTGATGAACTCTCACTCATTGAAATTTTTTGTATAACTGCTGAAGTTGGGGCAAAAAGTGTTAGATGTGTGCATTGCAGTAAAAATGGTGTTACTGATTGTCGGTCTTTGTTTATATTGCAAAATGATTTGGATGCCATCCTGTTAATTGGATTGATGATAATAGAATGGTTGGTTTATATGTTGAACATATGGAAGACTACATGACTAGTCAACTTTCTGATTGCTTGCCTTCTGTTGATGAACCATTGGAATTTGTCGGGGATGATGGAGAGAATTTAGATGAGTTTATTGATAATTGGAGTTATGAAAAAAATGATGATGATATGGGTGAAGATAATTTGGGTGATTCTGACAGTGAGTTTGAAATCCAATCTTTTGGATCAGACTCTGATTGTTCTGATGAGTTTGTTGAGAGTGATTGTGATTTATATGATGAAGATAATAGGATGTTTGAGGGTAATGTAGATGCAGATATTGAATGGGGAGGGATAATTAGAGAGAAACCTGATAGGGCTGAATTTGCAACTAGCAAGGGCAAGCAGAGAACTAGAAATTCCCATCCAACTTTTGATCATAAAAAATGCATGCAAAATCCACAGTTTGAATTGGGCATGAAATTTCCTGATCTGACCATGTTTAGAAAGGAAGTTAGGAATTTTGCAATTGCACAAGGTAGAGAAGTGTCTTTTACTACTAACTTGAGCTATAAGGTGCAAGCAAGATGCAAAAATAAGTCATGTCCTTGGCTT